AATTACCTGGACACGCGCGATGTCCGCGTCCGAGTCGCGGATGCAGGTTGCATCCACGGCAGGCTACTCGGCACGCTTGGCAGCTACAGTTGGCATACCATTGCGGTGTGTACCATCCGTATCCTCTGCGGACCAACAACGAACTCGCGAGCGAGCGGAACTTCCGCCCGTTCGCGTATCACACGTGAACAAAATGAATTGTATGAATGTTCACTTCCACGTGACGTGATTCTGCCAATGGTTACGCGAGTTGAGTATCGCGGATACTTCGGGTAGATGAGATTAATCTATCTGTAACTTGTACTCGAGCTCTCTTCCGAGTCTTTACTTGAGAGAAATAGATCAATTTTTCCAATCCTTTATTTCACTTTTAAATTTGTATTCGAAAAGATATTATACATTTTTTGCATAACAATGGAAGAAATTTCAACTTTTAATAAATCGCATTTTTTAAATTATAATTGTTTTAAAAATATATAATGCAAAATAATCATCAATTTACCTATTTGTCACAATAGATAATCGTATGGTAACTCTTTCTCTCGTGCTTTATCATCGATAAAATTGCACACATGTAATCTTTTTTAATCAACCAGTTCAGCCATGAAATTTTATCGCAACTAAGATAAATGCCGAAGATCAAAATCGGCGTAGCGAAATCAGAGATTGCCATGAAATCTCTTCGATCCGATTGAATTCCCGGAACAATAGCACGGAAAAATAAAAAGTAGAAGACTCGAGTATCGTGAACAGATGGAAATGGAATATTTGTAACGTCTTTTATGCGTCCCCTCGATACAACCAAAAGTTTCTATGCCTGCGCGAGAAATGAATACAACCCGAAACGACTAAGTCCCAAAATGTATTCTCTCAACGAAAAAAAGAGTAACTATCAGAAAAAATCGTTGCGGACTTTGATCTTTAATTCGACGCGATTAACTTAACAAAAAAAAAAAAAAACAAATTGGAAATCAATTGGAAAGAGTACGTCACGCGGAAAACTGTCCGGGATATCGTCACGTGCAATCGGGCTACGATGGCACACCGGTGACCAGTCATAGCGTAACGTTGGTATCTTTTAACGATGCACTAAAAGCTCTAACAGATTGTTACAACAACGGACGATATCGAGCGCAGCACGTTCGCGGCTAGCATAAGCTTTACCGGTCGTTGCGTCGGCATTTCATCGCGTTAAACGCGCCAGCCGGCTCTCGCGACTAACGATAACCTTTTGACGATGACTACGTTTTGGCCGAGTGCTTCCGGTCCATATAAGCGCGTCATACATCTATGCAACATACATGCTCA